CACAAGATCCTGTAAACATAAAAGGAATTTTGAGCTGTACTTACTGAATCTCCCTTTTCTCCTTTTTCAGAAGGTTCTCCCTGTGAAAGAGTACAAGTAAACTCAGTAAGTACCAGGACATTTTTTCTCAAATCCAGATTTGCTCTCTATTTCTAAAGGTTTTGGCAAGAATGAAACCCACTTCTACTTTCCAGAAAATAAGCCAAACAATCATAATTATTAATAGCAATTGATTGCTTACTTTTTCTCCTTTTGCACCTTTTAATCCCTTTTCATCTCGAAGACTCTTTCCCAAAAAAAGAAAATAAAGATTAATTCTTTCTAATTTGTTAACAAATCAGAGATCAATTTCCCCAAATCTTCCTCTTCATAATGGTTATCCAATATTCTTTTCATGATCAATTTACACTATATAATTGCAATCTAAATATTGAGGAATCATATTTAGAATAGCAATATATGTGTCTCTGCATTTCCAAATGAATGTAGCTGACATATTTCAAATTACTTCAAATTAAAAAAGTGTTTTAAAAGTCAAGGGTAACATGCCAACAGAGTTCAGTATTGCTTATTCTCAAAATAAAATTGTATATATGTATGTGATATGTCTTAGTTGTGTGTGAGGGGAAGTGTTGTATGAATGATATATTGGCTCACAATGTGGTGCCCTGGATGCAGTAACCTACTTTGGCAGAATAACTTCTATATTAATGATTACTATATTGATTGCTGATTATCTTTCCCTGTTCAATTCAAACTGGTAATTTTTTTTATAAGGTACTACAACTATAACTCACTTCCACTTACTTTGGGACTGTCTCATTTGACTAGAAGCCACCCATCCTGTGTGATCCTTCAATAAGGATTGTTCAGGATCCTCATCCTATGGGAAACCAAGGAGATCAGGGACAGAGGCAAACCATCTTTGTGGTGGCACTGACACTGTAGAAGAGCTTAGCTTCTCATTCATTTTTGGCATTTGGAAAAATGAACAAACTTTTATTTTAATAATGTTCAGTGTTATAGCTGTGACAGTTGTATGAGAGGAGATTGAAAGATGCTGGGGTTTTGTGTTGTTATATATACTGTAGACTCCTTGCAACTGGGTAGCATATAAATTCATGCAATAAAATTATGAATATATGTATGTATATGTGCGTATAGGTATATGTATGTATGTATAAATAACATAACATATATTGGAAATTTATTTTAAAGTATAACATTCATTTAATCTTTCTTCCTGGTATTTTCCCTTTGAGAAATCTGTTTCTGCATGTATCTGTGTTTTGTGCATATGTGCATGCTCTCCCCCATGTACACAATATATACATGGTTTTCATGCACATATTTGTTAGATTTTTTAAATCTCCAGAATTGATTTCAGTTGAAATTGATATCTTTAACTGACATGCTAGGTAAACCGAATTATAGTATAAACTATTTTTAAGAATATTAATAACAGTTTTCTGATCTGATTTTTCTGTGGGTAATAATCATGGATTATTATCATGTGGATCGTGTGGATAAGAAACAGTTCATAAAATTCAAGGGTGTCATTCTTTTAGGTAAAAACATTGTTTCAATGATTTGTTAGTATAAACAAATTTCTGGCTATTAACAAGAGCAAATTGTTCTCAATTAATATTATACTGCTTTTAGATTAATTTGTTCATCTCTGGACTTGAAAACTTGGGTCACTGTTGCAACCTGAAACCCTGGTTCCAGAAAGTCTAAGTACTTAAAGCTGAAGTTTAGCCTGATAAATCATCTTTCTAAATACTAAACTTAGCGCTTCTTTTCTGGAAAGTTGTTGGCTTGAGAATAAATCATTAAATGTTTTGCATTGGACAGCTGAAGGAAGGAGTGTATTCGTACACTACATGAGGGTTAAAAGATGATTAATTTCTTGAAGGCTAAACAGCTGGCCCCCATGTTTTGCCAGAAGATATTAACTGGGAAACTTGATAAGGCATAGGAATCTGAAAGGTCTTATAATTGTAAGAAACATGAATCTGGCAGACGGTTGCATATCATATCCTGAGGACCTCAACTAGGGTTCATGTCACCTGCCACAAACTTAATCTTAAATAGGAATTAAGAGGCTACTAAAATATGCAAAATATACTAAGAATGATTGCAAGAAGCAAGTTATACATAATGAAGAAAAAAATGCCTGGATATAATTAATTTTCTAGGTACAAAGGATTAAGAAATATAAAGCAGCTCTTTAAAAAACTGAAACAAAAAACTGAAGCAGTTCAATCTATTGAGCAGTTGGTATAAAATACAGCAAAAGCTATCGACTTGTAACCCTAACCCTAACAACCCAGAAACATAGTGATCTTTGGCAATTTGTTTGCATACAGCTGGTCATAAACTGTTTTTCCGCAGACTGGGGAAATGAGCTCATTCATACAAATGTATGATAAAATAACTCAATTTTATTTAATACATTTTTTTAAAAAAAATCTAAGGTTAATATATTGGTGTAATTAGTAAAGCACAATTACTAACAGTAGCGAAAATAGAAAGAGACAGAAAATGAGAAAGTACCAAAAAGGAACGATGAAAGTACTAGAAAAATAATGAAATAGAGATTGGAAAATTATAGCTATCAAAGTTTATTACAGTTTTGATGGTATTGAATGGATCAGAGGAGTACAATGGTTAAAATTTCAGTGATTTTAAGAGAAAAATGAAAAAAATATAGGGGAGAGAGAGGTAGAGAGATTGGGAAGATCACTGGGTGCCATCTCATTTAGATAGTTTTTTCATGCAGCTATCCCAGCATTTCTCCCTCTGGCATACATTTTTGTTGGGTGCCTGAAATATGGTCATAAATGCACACAATGGTTGAAAAATATTTTTAACTACTAACATATTTTGAATGGTCACTACTTGAAATTGTCACTAAATAAGGAATGGTTATATTCACAGCTTTGAAGAACTGAGTGTAGCTGAAAAATGCACTGTATGACTTTTACTACAGAATGGAAGCTGATTATAAAACTTCCATGGAATTAAGGCTCCAAAGAAAGAATATTCAAAATGGATCTTTCTTCACAGAAAGAAAGAAAGAGAAGTGGTTAAACAAGGTGTAAGACAAATCTTTAGCTCTGGAATATGAGAAACAAACTCAGAGTCAATCAAACAAAAGACAATGATTGAAGATGTGTCACATAGGGTTTTGTGTGAGAACAATCAACCAGTGGAACAGCTTGCCCTCGGAAGTTGTGGGAGTGCCATCACTTGAGACCTTCAAGAAGAGATTGGACTGCCATTTGTCAGAAATGGTGTAAGGTCTCCCGCTTGGGTGGGGGGTTGGACTAGATGACCTATAAGGTCCTTTCCAACTCTGATTATCTGTTAAATCTGTGTAGATAAGCAAATGAATAGTAAAAGTTTGAATTTATTGTAACAAATGTTAACCCAAGAGATGACAAGAGAGCTTGTTTTTAAGAAAACCCAAAGGCTGCCAACTGTTTCAATGTATTAAAGCTAGGTGATTAAATATTACAAAAGCCCTATTTCTGAAAGACTAATTTAAATATAGGGATTAAAAGTCATAGCCAAATGATGTAACCTGTTCATTGATGTTGTGCTTAAACTACAAAATAACCATTAGATTATGTTTTCCAGAAATGTTCTAATTTGGACATTTAAAAAGAATTCTTGTAGATTGTCAGGATGAGACAAAATGGTAGTCAGAAAGAAACGAATGTTTCATCTGTAATTCCCAACCTTCTCACATTGCAGCAGAACATCTAATTTAATTATCAAAAATGAGCAAATTTCTGAATTGTATAATCAACTTTGTTTCTTACTAGAAATTCACAGTTACCCAGGGAAGATCAGCACCAAATACTGGATCAGTTTGGCAAGCATTTTTATGAATTTAGTAATTTGTCAAAAGTCAAGTTTTTAACTCTTTTCATATAAAAGATTACTTTCCTGCCACCCATTTCTTTTTAGCAACGTTATTTCAGGACAAGGATTAAGAAGTTCTAATCTGCAAACCACCCAAAGATCTATCTTACTAGACCCAAATATACAGGTGAAACTCGAAAAATTAGAATATCATGCAAAAGTTCATTTATTTCAGTAATGAAACTTGAAAGGTGAAACTAATATATGAGATAGACTCATTACATGCAAAACAAGATAGTTCAAGCCATGATGTAGCATAATTGTGATGATTATGGCTTATAGCTCATGAAAACCCCAAATCCACAATCTCAGAAAATTAGAATATGACATGCAATCAATAAAACAAGGAGTGTACATAGAACAATATCAGACCTCTGAAAAGTATAAGCATGCATATGTACTCAGTACTTGATTTGGGCCCCTTTTGCAGCAATTACAGCCTCAATGTGGCGTGGCATGGGAGCTATCAGCCTGTGGCACTGCTGAGGTGTTATGGAAGACCAGGATGCTTCAATAGCGGCCTTCAGCTCTACTGCATTGTTCGGTCTCATGTCTCTCATCTTTCTCTTGGCAATGCCCCATGGATTCTCTATGGGGTTCAGGTCAGGCAAGTTTGCTGGCCAATCAAGCACAGTAATCCCACGGTCATTGAACCAGACTTTGGTGCTTTTGGCAGTGTGGGCAGGTGCCAAGTCCTGCTGGAAAATGAAGTCAGTATCCCCATAAAGCTTGTCTGCAAAAGGAAGCATGAAGTGCTCCAAAATCTCATGGTAGACGGCTGCGTTGACCCTGGACTTAATGAAGCACAGTGGATCAACACCAGCAGATGACATGGCTCCCCAAATCAACACAGACTGTGGAAACTTCACATTGGACTTCAAGCATCTTGCAGTGTGTGCCTCTCCATTCTTCCTCCAGACTCTGGGTCCTTGGTTTCCAAATGAGATGCAAAAGTTGCTCTCATCAGAAAAGAGGACTTTGGACCACTGAGCAACAGACCACTTCTATTTTTCTTTAGCCCAGCTAAGACACTGCTGATGTTGTTTGTTGTTCAGGAGTGGCTTGACAAAAGAAATATGACCTTTGAAGCCCATGTCCAGGATCTGTCTGTGTGGTGGCTCTTGATGCACTGACTCAGCCTCAGTCCATTCCTTGTGAAAGCCGCCAACATTTTTGAATGGCCTTTTCCTGACAATCCTATCCAGGCTGCGGTCATCCCTGCTGCTTGTGCACCTTTTTCTTCCACACTTTTCCCTTCCACATAACTTTCTATTAATGTGCTTTGATACAGCACTTTGGGAACATCCAACTTCTTTTGCAATTACCTTTTGAGGCTTTCCCTCCTTATGGAGGGTGTCAGTGATGGTTTTCTGCACAACTGTCAGGTCAGCAGTCTTTCCCATGATTGTGCTTCCTATTGAACCAGACTGAGAGACCATTTAAAGGCTCAGGAACCCTTTGCAGGTGTTATGGCTTCATTAGCTGATTAGAGTGGGACAGTTTGAGCCTAGAATATTGAACCTTTTCACAATATTCTAATTTTCTGAGATTGTGGATTTGGGGTTTTCATGAGCTGTAAGCCATAATCATCACAATTATGCCACACCATGGCTTGAACTATCTTGCTTTCCATGTAATGAGTCTATCTCATATATTAGGTTCACCTTTTAAGTTGCAGTACCGAAATAAATGAACTTTTGCACGATATTCTAATTTTTCGAGTTTCACTTGTATATCCTGTCCACCGTTGGTTTCAGTCATGGAAAAAGACACAAAAATAGATGTTCTTTGAAATGCAGAAATGCAATGAATATATCCATATTAAAGCCTGTTCTTTCAAGTTTCTTTAAAATTTTCATCAAGTTTGTTTTCAAATCCATGTTAATCACACTGTGGACTTGGATAAGGCCACTGAAGTACCAGAATATAAACTCCAAATTTATTGAAATTATATTCTCAAAAATTTATTATTTAGAGACAAAACCACTTAACTCATTAGATTTTCCTTCTAACATTATTTAAAAATCTAAAAGGAGTTAATTAGACAAAAGGCAAAAGTTTTGTTGCTTCACTGAATTGATTCAGAACAGCAGATTGTCCTACAATGTACAGTACTTAATTTTCTATATTCCTTTTGCCAATGAATTTTGCAGTTGTATATAACCAAACATATTACTATATTATTACACCTTCATCTCTATGTACAAGCTAAAAATTAAAATAATTATCACAAACAACAACAAATAAATTCAGATAAATCTGATTTCAGAGAATAGGATAAAACTTACCCTAAACCTATCTAGCTAAACCAACCAAACTTGTCAAGGTGAGTCACTTTGTTGGGAAGGTGGGTGTATAAAAAAATTATTAATAAATAAAAAGTGTAATAAATAAAAGGTGCCTTTCCTTCAGTCAATTTTAATTAAAAGGGTTAGTATTGCTATGGAAACATTATTGATAAAATAGATTAATTTGCATTTGTATTAAATATGTGAAAATCAGTAATTATCTTCCAAAGAATTTCATCAGTATTTTTGTAATACAAAATTTGATTTTTCACATGCAAAAAATATAAGTATATTAAGATACTTCTTGAAGATAGTAAGTTACTGAACTGTATAATACTGAAATACCCATAATATCCATACCTGATAATTCTGCCCTTTAAAGGAATATTGAAATCCTGAAACACCTGGAGGGCCCTAGAATGAAGGGAGAAAAATCAAGAATATAATTTGTCAGCTTTGAAGATTTTTTTTCATTAGAAGTATATATTCTGTGAATCTGTTAGTTGATTAAGATACCTTTAAGACAAACACATATCATCTTATTATTACTTATGTTTCATGCAAAAAACATATGTATGCATTTATGTATTTGCTACATTTATTAACCAACCCAACCATTCAACCCTGACTGGCATACTACAAATAAAGAATAAAGGGAAAAAAATAAGTTAACACTGCCTCCCATAAAACAGAAAAGAAACCACATATATTTATACAAATATATAAATTCCTAAATGAAGGAACCTTTATTTTTAGCCAATGGGTAGAACTAAAGATTTGATGAAACAAGAAAATTATTAACAATGTTATGAAATATGTTAACAGAAGATGTCATTCAGGCTGCTAAAAGAACTTTTTCATAATAGGGGCTCACCATGGAGAAGGCCTACTAACTTGTCTGAAGTTCAAACATAGCCCAGAAGAAATGACTCTCAGAAGAGCTTCCTGAATCAATAAGACTAAAAAATCTTGAATAGTTGAAGTAATCATTTCTATCAATCTTCTTAACCAGTAAGATATCTATCTATCTATCTATCTATCTATCTATCTATCTATCTATCTAT